AACACATGCGAAACACATGCGAAACACATGCCAAAAACACACGCGAAACACACGCGAAACACACGCGAAAACACACACGAAACACATGCGAAACACACGCGAAACACACGCGAAACACACGCGAAACACACGCGAAACACACGCGAAACACACGCGAAACACATGCGAAACACACGCTAAACACACGCGAAACACATGCGAAACACACGCGAACACACGCCGAAACACATGCGAAACACACGCGAAACACTGCGACACAGCGAAACACACGCGAAACACACGCGAAACACACGCGAAACACACGCGAAACACACGCGAAACACGCAACACACGCGAAACACACGCGAAACACACGCGAAACACACGGGAAACACACGCGAAACACACGCGAAACACACGCGAAACACACGCGAAACACACGCGAAAAACACGCGAAACACACGCGAAACACATGCGAAACACACGCGAAACACACGCGAAACACACGCGAAACACACGCGAAACACACGCGAAACACACGCGAAACACACGCGAAACACACGCGAAACACACGCGAAACACACGCGAAACACATGCGAAACACACGCAAAACACACGCGAAACACACGCGAAGCACACGCTCTCAGGTGGCAGTTCGCCTGAGAGCTTGTTTTGAGCCATGGGGAAGTGCGCCATGGGGAAGTAAGCCAGCTGCTTCAGATTGCCCATGGAGGCAGGGACTGGGTGGGCCAGACAGGCTGCAGCCCTACTACTGTTGCTTGCAGGGGGGGAGAAGGAGAAGGGGGGGAGGGCACACAAGGGGCAGACACGTGGCAAGACGATGGTTTGGGAGCTTACACATAACAACAGCGCTTACAGGAGGGTCAACTGAGCCAGGTTCCCAATGCTTGCTGGAATGGTGCCTTGAAGGTCCGGATTCTTGCCAAGATTGCTGGGTTGTGGGGGTGGGAGTGGGGTGGGGGCGAGGGGGGGGGGGTGGGGGCGAGGTGGGGGGGTGGGGGCGAAGGGGGGGGGGGTGAGGGTGAGGAGGGGGGAGTTAAGAGAAGAGAAGGAGAGAGGCGCAATGGAGACAGTGGGGGTTGCAGATCGAACAGAAGGAATTTGCTTGGGAAGGGAAAATGAGAGAAAAGAACAGGAAGAAAGAAAGTCGAAATAGGAACGGGAGAGTTTGGGAGGGGTGAGCAGATGACGGCGCTTACAGCATGCGCAGGACGTGAGGTCGAAGAGGGAAGGCGGCAAAGTGCCGGTCAGCCTGACATCCTCGAGGAAGCTGGTAAACAGGGGAGGAGAGAGGAGGATCAATGGCAAAGCAGGGGGGGGGCAACAGAGAGGGGATAGACGCGATGGAAGGATGGAGGTGTGGGGTGGGAGGAGGCGAGGGATAAATGAAAGGGGCGTGAGGTCAGTCAAAGCTTGAAGCCGGAAGGGTGACATTTGGCGAGTAACTGGTGCTATCAGTTGGGTAGCCAAATCGTAAGTGCTGGTGGTGGCAAGGAAGTACGTCCCTCCTGTCCATGCAAAAACTCAGGGGTTGTCGTTGCATGTCCACCATCAAACATAAAATCGAGTAATGTGATGTGAAAGCTGCACTCACAGCTGCACTCACAGCCGCACTCACAGCTGCACTCACAGCTGCACTCACAGCTGCACTCACAGCTGCACTCACAGCTGCACTCACAGCCGCACTCACAGCTGCACTCACAGCTGCACTCACAGCTGCACTCACAGCTGCACTCACAGCTGCACTCACAGCTGCACTCACAGCCGCACTCACAGCTGCACTCACAGCTGCACTCACAGCCGCACTCACAGCCGCACTCACAGCTGCACTCACAGCCGCACTCACAGCTGCACTCACAGCTGCACTCACAGCCGCACTCACTGCCGCACTCACAGCCGCACTCACAGCCGCACTCACAGCTGCACTCACAGCTGCACTCACAGCCGCACTCACAGCCGCACTCACAGCCGCACTCACAGCTGCACTCACAGCTGCACTCACAGCTGCACTCACAGCTGCACTCACAGCTGCACTCACAGCCGCACTCCACTGCCGCACTCACAGCCGCACTCACAGCCGCACTCACAGCCGCACTCACAGCCGCACTCACAGCTGCACTCACAGCCGCACTCACAGCTGCACTCACAGCTGCACTCACAGCCGCACTCACAGCTGCACTCACAGCTGCACTCACAGCTGCACTCACAGCTGCACTCACAGCCGCACTCACAGCTGCACTCACAGCCGCACTCACAGCCGCACTCACAGCTGCACTCACAGCCGCACTCACAGCTGCACTCACAGTTCGGTAACCATGTCGTAACCACCACCAGCACCAGGCGAGCACTTGACGCCCGCCCACGCAGCACCACAGGGGTCGTCGCCCGTCCACGAGTTGAAAGGCGCGTCGTTGGCATTCCCCATGCCGGCAATCTGGCGCAGAATGGCCACTGCGAGGTGTGGGGGGCGCACAGGGGTTGAATGGCACAGCGGTCGTTGGCTTTCCCCAAGCCTGCCATGCCACTTGCCATAGAATGGCCACTGCAGGGAGGGACGGGGAGCACAGCAGTGAAGGCTGTAGGGTTGGCATGGTGCTTGTCAGTCCACCGCACAGCAGCGCAGCAGGGGTCGCCGCCTGCCCATCATGAGTTGACGGCACGCTGTTACCAATCCCCATGCCTGCGATCCGCCATAGAATGGACACTACAGGTGAAGGGGATAGCTCGGGGATTGGGAACGGTGTCAGGGGGAAACACTGGGAGTGCAGCAAATGCAAGACGAAAGGTGCCGTTTCGAGGCACCTAACTTAACAAGCGCGTCATCGGCGTGCGTATGGCTGCTGCAGCAATCGCGGCGATCTTTCACACTGAATCGCTGCTGAATGGCGTTGGGGGCTGAGAGAAAGATGGAGACATGGAAGATGCCGAGAGGAGCAAAGGGATTGCCGAAGGGCGCATAGGGATTGCCGAACGGAGCAAAGGGACGCCGAAGGGAGCAAAGCAATATCATAGGGATTGCCAAAGGGAGCATAGGGATTGCCGAGGGAGCATAGGGAATGGCGAGAGGAGCCTAGGGAATGCCGACAGGAGCCTAGGGAATGGCGAGAAGAGCCCAGGGAATGGCGAGAGGAGCCTAGGGAATGGCGAGAGGAGCCTAGGAAATGACGAGAGGAGCCTAGGGAATGCCGAGAGGAGCCTAGGGGAATGCCGAGAGGAGCCTAGGAGCTAGGATGCCGAGAGGAGCCTAAGGAATGCCGAGAGGAGCCTAAGGATCCCTCGGCGGAGCCTATGGATCACCGAGATGAGCCTAGGGATTGTGGCGTACGAGAGCAGAGGATCAGCCGTCGGACGGGAAGATGGCCCTGCAGGGGGCTCACCTTGAGCGGGACCAGTGGCTGCGGAAGCAAGTGGTTCTTGTAGAATTCCAGCAACCCATTCTCACCATGGCGGGCTCACCATGGCGGGCTCACCATGGGCGGGATCCGGGGCTGCGAAGGCGAGTCTCGTCACGAGCAGCGCGATAACGAGCAGCGCGATGGCTACTAAAGCGGACGACGATGGGCCGCGGCGGCCCTTCCGCGTCACCATTCTGGCGCGGCGAACCCGAGAGCTGGAGTCGACGACTAAGAGAAGGTCGGGGATACCACCGGAGTCCGAGAAGGTTCGGTTTTGCAACCAAGCTTTTCCGAGGGGAACTGTTCGGAACTGCTCAGTGAGCACGTCGCTGAGAGCACGCCGCTGAGAGCACGTCGCTGAGAGCACGCCGCTGAGAGCACGCAGCGTTCAGTCGCTTAGAGCACGCCGCTTGGAGCACTAAAACCGCGGCGTTCTGGGCGGAACGCAGCGTTGCTCTCTTCCGCCGGAAGAGGGTCGAGAGCTGGGAGAAATTTCAGAAGGTGGCTCAGAATTGACCCCCGAGATTCGCACGAGAAACGGCCGGCAGCTGCTTAGACACTACTTAGGTTGTAGACTGCGGGTTGCTGTGACCGTGTACGCCTAACCCTGGTCAGCGGTGACTCAGACTAACCCTGGACGAAAGCTTCGGACAAGGGAAGCGTGGCTCGACGACCGAGAGGGAAGGTCGCGGCGTTATTTGCGACCGTGCTTATGTCTGCCGGCATTCCCCCCCAAATCCGCTGGAGGCTGTAGCAGTGTCTCGCTGGAAGCAAGCGCAGTAGCTCAGGCGGGGAAACTGAGTCCCAGCTATGACGAGGAAGGAACTCGCCTTGCTGTGGGGATTTGGAGGGCGGCAAGCGACAGCGAGCCCGATATGACCCCATCAGAAGAGCGCAGACGAAGGATTCTGAAGTTGCAACTTTGAAACAGCTACCGCACCCGAGCCACGGTATTGCACACAAAACTGCGATGAAACTGCGAAAACCGAGCTGCACCGAAAAGGGAAAGCGAAACGGGCTGGGGTGCTAGGGCTGAGGAAGCAAGTGTCGCTTGGTTTCCATCCTGCCGCCCTCGCACACCTCACTCCCTTCCTCACTCCCAAACCTCCCTTTCGCCCCGAGCCTGCGGCCGAGCCTCGCGATAAGTCAACCACACTTCGGGTCATCCCTAAACATGTGTCATCGAACTTCCTGAACTTCCTGACATGGGGATTTTTTACGGCTCCGATTATGACGCGGCAGCAATCTACGGGACGTGTGGCGAGAGAGGATAGGCACTTCTGTTGCTGGAGAGCTCTGGTTTGGGATTCCATGCCTTTCAGCCAAACCACCATCGCACGCTCCCACCTTGTGCACGTTCAGACTTCCCGTATGGCACACGGACCAATAGCTTCACTATACGGGAGTTACTTATAGTGCAGATATGCATGTTACGAAATCTGTACAATTATTAAGGCTAGAAAGTGCAAGCATATTGGAGATCGCATAATGTATAGACAATGTGTGGTCCCCCCTCACCACAGCTGCTACTGTAGAATCTGCCTGTATCGAGCATCCTAAACAGGCAAAGGAGATATTGTTGAGGGAGGGGAGATGGGCGAATTTTTGTAGGGAGCGGTAGCACCAGCGCGCCCAGGAGGCTGTGCGAGAGCCGGGGAGAATGGCGGCCATTCTCTCGGCCTCTCGCGTCTCGATATTGACGGCCTCCCGTGCCTCCATAATGACGCGACTCGGAACGACGGCTCGTGCGTCGTGCAGTCGCCGATTGCTCTCCGTGTCTTCCGCTCGTCCGGCCTCTTCGGCCTGTCCACTTCCCTCCTCGCGCGTTCCCGCCAGCCGTCCCTCGATAGTAGCACTCAGGCAGATTTTGTGCTTCGCGCCGCCCGTAGCGCATCCATCAGCACGTGCTTGCGGCGAGATTCTCGGATCCTCCTATTGGGGAGCTCGATTTTGCATCAACGCGCATTCACCGCCGCTTTTCCCACCGGATATTACGGCTGCCAATAGTCGGCGCAGCATTTCCACCATTCATCTGCCAGGCTCGGCCCAACCCAAGCCTGAGCCTCGGCAGCAGCCGCCGAACCTGCTTCCGAACCTGACCGTAGCTTCGGTAACGCGGGGAACTTCGAGGAGGTGTTCGAGACCCAGGTCAAGCCCGCGCTGCTAGCGGCTGACTTCGTTTGTCTGGATCTGGAAATGAGCGGTCTAGATTCGGGTCGTTCAGGCGGCCGTTGGATGCGGACACTGTAGCAACGCGGTTTCTCCACGGGCGGCACAGCGTGATGCAGTATGCTGTGATGCAGCTGGGGGTGTGCACGTTCAGATGGGACGAGGAGCGGAAGGAGTTCATTGTTCACCCGTGAGTAGACCCTCCTCTCTTCCTTTTGACAGTATGCGGTGATGCAGCTGGGCGTGTGCTCGTCCAAGTGGGATGGAGAGAGGAGAGAGTTCGTCGTTCACCCGTGAGTAACCTGACTAGTCAAAGTCACAGCAACGGGCGGCACAGCCCCCTGCAGCATGCGGTGATGCAGCTGGGGGTGTGCTCGTTTGGGACAAAGAACAATGGAGATTCATCGTTGACCCGTTAGTACGAGGTGATGCAGCTGGGGGTGTGCTCGTTTGGGACAAAGAACAATGGAGATTCATCGTTGACCCGTTAGTACGAGGTGATGCAGCTGGGGGTGTGCTCGTTTGGGACAAAGAACAATGGAGATTCATCGTTGACCCGTTAGTACGAGGTGATGCAGCTGGGGGTGTGCTCGTTTGGGACAAAGAACAATGGAGATTCATCGTTGACCCGTTAGTACGAGGTGATGCAGCTGGGGGTGTGCTCGTTTGGGACAAAGAACAATGGAGATTCATCGTTGACCGTTAGTACGAGGTGATGCAGCTGGGGGTGTGCTCGTTTGGGACAAAGAACAATGGAGATTCATCGTTGACCCGTTAGTACGAGGTGATGCAGCTGGGGGTGTGCTCGTTCAAGTGGGACCAAGAGAGGAAGGAGAGTCGTCATTCACCCACCCACGTGGAGCAGCCCCCTAATTTTGAGGCGCCTCAAAACCACCCACGTGGAGCAGCCCCCACGTGGAGCAGCCCCTAAGAATGGGGGCCATGGCATGATGGCAGCACCTGCCCTCTCGCCCGCCCTTCCCAGTGTGCCCCTTCCGGCTGAGAGGATTTATTTGAGGCGCCTAAAAATAGACTTCTCACGCATGGCAGCACCTGGCCTCTCCCTCTCGCCGTCCCTTCCCAGTGCGCCCTTCCAGCTGGGAGGAGCTGCCAGCCATCTGCCTGCAGGGCTTCAAACCCCTTGAATCCCCCAAACCTCCAGGGTCAGCTTCGAGTTGATGAATCGGTCGCTCAGGCTTTAAGGTGGCTTCTTTTAGAAAACTCAGAAACCACCTGCGTCAAGCTTCAGGATATTCAACTGGTCGGTCGGGCTTTAAGGGCTTCCCAGCACGCTCCTTCCAGTGCCAGGCCAGCCACGTGCTTGCAGTTGTCACCTCTCCTCACCAGTCATCTCCACATGAATCCCCAACGAACCCTCCACCTTCTCCCTTTGCCCCTCCCCTCCGTTCTCCCCTGCACACAAACCTCCCCTTGTCGCTCTCCTCAGGAGGTTTTTAAGTCGGTCTTTCAGCCATCTTTCAGCCGTCCTCCTGGAGTTCATCCCTGCCCCCCCCCCCCCCCCATTATCCCTCTCTTTAGCAGGTCTTTCCTAATCAGAAATACTGGGCTTTAAGGGCGTCCCAGTGCACTCCTTCCACTGCCATCCGTCCTCGCCAGCGGTCGTCAGCCCTTGCAACACGGCTGGGCTTTAAGGGCGTCCCAGTGCACTCCTCCCATCCTGGACTCTCCCCTTTACCCCCTTCTCCCAGGTTCAACTTCAAGGTCTTCCCCCGGTCGGAGATCCCGGGCTTTAAGGGCGTGCCAGTGCACTCCTTCCAGTGCCAGCCGTCCTCTCTGGAGTTCCTTGCAGCTCACCACCTCGACTTCAACAGCTGGGTGCAGCACGGTGGGTGATGCTGAGTGATGGGTTGTGAGTGGTGGTGGTTCCACGAGTGTTGATGTGGTGGACGGGAAATGCTGGTTCCAAGGTGCCTCTAAGCCAATCCTTCCAGTGCCAGCCGTCCTCATTGGAGTCCCTTGCGGCTCACCACCATCTCGACTTTAACAGCTGGGTGCAGCACGGTGGGTTGGGTGTGCGGGGCGGGGTTGTTTGAGTGTGTGGTTCGTGTGTCGATTCTACCATTCCTTCCAGAGCGTGGTGCCAACCATCATCCCCCGGCTTCGTTGCTGCTCACCACCACCACCTTCACTTCAACAGCCGGGTGCAGCACGGTGGGTGATAATCGTGTGCAAGAGGGTGCAGCACGGTGGGGTTTGGGGTTTGGGGTATGAGTTGATTGGCCCCACCATACATCCCGCCGTCCCCCCTCGAGATCCTTGCGGCTCACCACCATCTCGACTTCAAGAACTGGGCCCAGTGCAGCACGGTGGGTGGTGGTGATGCGTGATGGGTGCAGCATGGTGGGTGGGGTGTGTGGGGGGATGGTGTGTGAATTAATCCCACCTTCCTTTGAGGGGGGATGGGCCATGATGTGCCGAGCCCACTGGTCGTTCCAGTGCCACCCAATCGTCCTCCCTCCAGTTCCTTGCCGCCCAAGGACCTGGAGACATGGGTGCAATAGGGGGCGTTGTGAGGGACAGGTATGCTGATGGTGATGATGATGGTGGTGGTGATGGTGATGATGATGGTGGTGGTGATGGTGATGGTGATGGTGATGGTGTGGTGATGATGGTGATGGTGGTGGCGATGGTGGTGGCCATATGGTGATTGTGATGATGAGTGGTGTAAGTGTATGTGTACGAGTGGGATTGCACGCACATCCGTGCATCCATGCACCCATGCATGCAGTTTCCCATTGCATCCCCAAAACCCAATGCGATCTCATCCGTCCATCCACACAGGGATCTCGTACCTGTCCCACGAGCAAGAGGAAGCCGCATGGAAGTTTCTGGACCTCCCTCCCCCATCAGCCACAGCAACCAATAAGGGCTCAGCTCCCAGCCAACAAGGCAGCGCTGACGTGGCACAGCCCACCAATCACACGCAAGCCAGCACAAGCAGCAGCAGCAGCAGCAGCCGATACAGCTGGCGTGACAGCGGCGACCGAACCGACCCGTCCTCCGCTCCCTTCCCGCGCGTGCAATTTGCCATGAAGAGCCTATCGCGCGTCGACATGTGGCTGGCGCGGCTGAGAGCAGCAGCGCAGGTTCAGTCTCAGGCGAGGGAGCTTGCCGGTGGTGGTGTGGGGGATGGTGAAGGGATGGTGCAGGCGATGGTGCAGGCCATGGTGTAGGGGTGGGTGCAGGGGTGAGTGCAGGGGTGGGTGCAGGGGTGGATGTGGGAGGGGATGGCAGCAGCAGCAGTGGTGGTTTGCCGTGTGCTTTAGCAGCAGTGGTTGGTGGGAGCCGTGGCTCTCTCTCAGAATAAACGATGCCTTCAACTGCCATGCTGCCGATCAGGTGAGATGCCCTACCATGCTGCCGACCAGGTGAGATGCCCTGCCATGCTGCCGACCAGGTGAGATGCCCTGCCATGCTGCCGACCAGGTGAGATGCCCTGCCATGCTGCCGACCAGGTGAGATGCCCTGCCATGCTGCCGACCAGGTGAGATGCCCTGCCATGCTGCCGACCAGGTGAGATGCCCTGCCATGCTGCCGACCAGGTGAGATGCCCTGCCATGCTGCCGACCAGGTGAGATGCCCTGCCATGCTGCCGACCAGGTGAGATGCCCTGCCATGCTGCCGACCAGGTGAGATGCCCTGCCATGCTGCCGACCAGGTGAGATGCCCTGCCATGCTGCCGACCAGGTGAGATGCCCTGCCATGCTGCCGACCAGGTGAGATGCCCTGTCATGCTGCCGACCAGGTGAGATGCCCTGCCATGCTGCCGACCAGGTGAGATGCCCTGCCATGCTGCCGACCAGGTGAGATGCCCTGCCATGCTGCCTGCCGACCAGGTGAGATGCCCTGTCATGCTGCCGACCAAGTGAGATGCCCTGTCATGCTGCCGACCAGGTGAGATGCCCTGTCATGCTGCTGACCAGGTGAGATGCCCTGTCATGCTGCCGACCAGGTGAGATGCCCTGTCATGCTTCCGACCAGGTGAGATGCCCTGTCATGCTGCCGACCAGGTGAGATGCCCTGTCATGCTGCCGACCAGGTGAGATGCCCTGTCATGCTGCCGACCAGGTGAGATGCCCTGTCATGCTGCCGACCAGGTGAGATGCCCTGTCATGCTGCCGACCAGGTGAGATGCCCTGTCATGCTGCCGACCAGGTGAGATCACCTTCCTACGCTGCTGCTAGTCTTCCATGACAACTGATCCCAGGTGAGATGCCCTGTCATGCCTATATCTTGCCCAGTAGTAGATAGCAGCACCACCAACCTCCAGCAGCAGCGCCAGTGGCAGCAGCAGGAGGGGTCTGCCGTGTGCTTTAGCAGCAGTGGTTGGTGAGGGGCCCTGACTCTCTCAAGCGGTCCGTGTATTTCTGGAACCTGGGTACAACTAGGCATCGGCTGGCAAGCAAGGTGAGTACAAACACCTACACACGCAGGCTTCCTACGACCACTCTAGCACCGGCTCCAGGACCGCGAAGCAGTCAGCCGGGGACAGGGACTCATCAGGTGAGCTGATGCGCGGGTGCTCCGCCTGGACCGCCTCGTTCACCTTCTTGAGGTAGGACGCGGCTTGACCCCGCTGGAGGGTGCAGGACCAGCGCTGCCGGAATTGGTGAAGGAGCTTAGCCGCCTGGTAGGTGGCTGGCTCCGCATTGAAGAGCTTCCTGGCGGCCGCCTTGGCTAGGAGCTTGAGGAAGGCCGGCACCTCCCACCATGGGCAACCGTACGTTTCCACGGCTAAGGGGAAGAAACCGACATAGGCTGCCCGATTTGTTGTAGTGGTCTATCTTTTTATCCGCTTGTTCCCTCGCTGCGAATCCACGCCCTTTGCGGGCTGTGGGGTCCCGGTTGCCGATTGGGTCCGTAACCGTGACGTCATCGATCCAAACTGCCGCCGTTCCCCGGTCCCGGATGGCGAGGTCTGCAGAATAAGCGACGCCTTTTTTAATTAACTCAAAAGTCATCTCCTCCTGGCTCTCTCTCTAAAAATAAACGGCGCCTTCAACTTCTATGCCGCCAACTGGATGAGAGCGCATGGGATGGTATGGTATGGCATGGCATATCATATGTTTTAGGGTGCATTAAATTTGTAGGTCATGCTTTCCCATGCGATTCCATGCCATGCCATGCCATGCCATGCCATGCCGTGGCACCATTTGCTGTGGCATGCCAAGACAAGTTGGCACAATAGTCGGTCGGTTAGTGATTTATCCTAAGCACCCACACATCCTAAGGATGTGCAGTATTCTCCAATCCAATGTGCAGTACCTTGTGCCTCCCAATCCACTCCCCCTCAACACCATCCTTACAAGGCTCCTGACCTTTCTCAAACCACTTCCTACCATTCTTGCTCCTCTCCTCAGGCCATTCGCTATAAGCACCCCTATCTGGCGTCACACGAGGAGCGAGTGGGCGCGTACAAGCGAGTGCGGCTCTTCCTGTGCCAATCAAAGGACGAGGCTGAGGACTTGCAGGTGAGGCTGAGGACTTGCAGGTGAGGCTGAGGACTTGCAGGTGAGGCTGAGGACTTGCAGGTGAGGCTGAGGACTTGCAGGTGAGGTGGGAATAGACATGGGCATGAGCCGAGCCTGCTCGGCTCGAGTCGAGCCAGATCCCGAAAAGAAAGGCTCGGCTCGTCATTTTGGCGAGCCGAGCCGAGCCGAGCCGGATGTGGCTCGGCTTGTGCCCATGTCTAGGTGGGAAGAACGAATGCGGGGAAAGGTGGGCCGGCATACAGCAAGTTGGCATGTACAAGAGAGTGCTGGTGCAGCAAAAGAACTGACTTTTGAGTCGACTCAAAGGGAATGGGGGGTAGTAGGGGGGCGGTGAGGGCGGTAGGAGAAGTGGGGTGCGTGCCTCAGTTAAGAGGAGTGTGGCAGCTCGTAGAGAGCACCACTTGGGATCTTGCACCATACATGGCAGCGAGTTCGTTGTGAACAAAGTTGTTTGAAAGTTGAAGGTGAAATTACGTGCCGCGGTGAAGGGAAGTGTGGTACTGTCAAGCTTCTGAGTGGATCAGAAGTAGCCACCTACTCAAAACGGTGAATCTGTAGGTGACATTTTGAGTCGACTCAAAACACACCTGGTGACACATGACACGACACACATCTGTAGGTGACACGACATCATCATCTTTGCATGGCCTGTTCGCTTTTCCCATTTTCCCGTTGGCTTCCCTTTTTGCCCTGATTCCGTTTCTCTCTTACTTGCGCAGGGCAGTGGGCGTGAGGCGAGTGGTGGGTACCTTGTGTGCTGGGATGAACCATTTTTTCACAATTCTCCTTTTTCCACAATGCTCCTTTTTCCACAATGCTCTATACTCTCTGCAATGGGCTGTGTGGGCAGCTGGGTCTGCAGCAGGCGGAGGAAGCAGCGGCAGTGTGCAGGGTGGTGGGGGGAGTGGTGGACGCATTGGATCTGGTGCCAGGATAAACCACTCGTTGGACCCACTTTAAACCCCAGGCCCGAAACCTTAAACTCCCTTTTCCACTATATTCCTTCTCCCTGTAACGCACTGCTTGCAGGAGCGGCTGCTGGTTCCGCGACAGGCAGATGTTGGCTGCAGTGGTGCGCAGGGCGGTGGGGGTTGAGGCGTGTGCTGGACTGCCTTTGCCCATTTTTCCGCTGCTTCTGTACTCCTTTTCCCATGGTGCAATGCTCTGCTTGCAGAATCCGGCTGCTGGGCCTGCGGCAATCAGAGGCGGCAGCAGTGGTGGCGCAGGGCGGTGGGGGTGAGGCGAGTGGTGGACGCCTTGGCTCTGGCATGCCAGGAGAAGCCCCTCGTTGCACACAGCTTCTTCCTCGGTACGTGCCATCTTGAGGATTGCATTTCTTAGGCGCCTCAAAACGGGCGTGCCAGGACAAGCCCCTCGTGGCACACAGCTGCCTTTTCAGTACGTGCCGTCTTTGAGGTGCCTCAGAGCAGACGCGCGGCAGTGGTGGTGCACAGGCGGGTGGAAGGTGAGGCCAGTGGTGGGCGTGTTGTGCTGGCACGAGCATGCCAGAGTAACCACTCGTCGTACACACTTGCTCTTTTGGTACGTGCTCTCACCCTCGCTCGCTCCACTCACTCTCGCTTGCTCCCTCTCACTCTCGCTTGCTCCCTCTCACTCTCGCTCACTCCCTCTCACTCTCGCTTGCTTCCCTCTTCACTCTCGCTCACTCCCTCTCACTCCCCATCCTCTCCCGTCACTGCCCCCCTCCAGACCTCTCGCATATTCTTCACAAGTTCGTGGGCCGCCTGCCGCCCTCCCCGGCAGCCTTCTCTCACGAGGTTCGCCGGCTCTTCCCGCACTGTGGGACACCAGCTGGCTCTCTGCGGCTGCCCTTCTCCACCAGGTGCATGACCACTGCAGAAAGGATAGCTTCAGTGCTCTGATCCCTGCTAGCGAGTTTTTGCCGCCTCTTCCCTGCGCTGTGGGACACCAGCTGCCTCGCCTCCAGCAGGTTTGTTCAGCAGCATGCCACAGCACTGTACGCCGCCTCTCCCCCGCGCAGTGGAACACCAGCTGCCTCGACTCGGCTACCCTTCTCATGTAGCTGTGTGTGCTGTAGCTGTGTGTGCTGTAGCTGTGTGTGCTGTAGCTGTGTGTGTAGCAGGTGCCTGAGCCTAGTGTTACAGTGCTATGCCCAGGCCATGCCCCCCTGCCTCCTTCTCCTCGGCTCTAACCCCCCTCCTTTCTCCCCTTCACCTTCCAGGAAGTTGCAAGCACCAACAGGCGCGCAACACTCAGCGATCTCTATGATGTTTCGAGGAACCTTCCTTTTGTGGGTGGGGCGCCCATGCGAGTGCAGTTCGGCCACGAGGCTGCCAGGTGAGAAAGGGAGGAGGGCAAGGGAGGAGGGCAAGGGATAGGGCAAGGGAGGAGGGCAAGGGAGGAGGGCAAGGGAGGAGGGCAAGGGAGGAGGGCGAGAGGAGAGGGAAGGAGAGGAGGGAAGGAGGGGAGGAAAGGCGAGGAGGGCGAGAGAGGAGGGAAGGCGAGGAGGGAAGGCGAGGAGGGAAGGCGAGAAGGGAAGGAGAGGAGGGAAGGAGAGGAGGGCAAGAGAGGAGGCAAGAGAGGCGGGCAAGAAACACGGCAGGTAACAGCCTTTGTGAGCTGTGACGAAGCCATCTCTTTGTGGGTGGGGCGTTCATGCGAATTCAGTCCGGCCGCAAGGCTGGCAGGTGAGAGAGAAGGGCAGCCAGAGACCTCCAGCGTTGAGGAGGGCAGCCAGAGACCTCCAGCGTTGAGGTCCACGAGATTATGTTTTTTTCCGGTTTGGTTTATCAACCGTCAGATACTCCTCATCCAACGGCTACGACTTGAGCCACGAGGCAGCATACGATGCATTCATGCGAGGACCGGTGTTTGCCCAAGCCTGCCACCCCCTTGGCTTCCCTTCCCACCGCCTCGGCTCTCACCGTTTCTCCCTCGCCCTCCCCAACCACTCCTTCCCATGTTCCCTCCCCTCTCTCCCCCACCCACCATCCCGCTGCCCTACACGTTCCTTCCCTCCCCCATCTCAACAATCAGGAATTCTTCATCAAACGGGCAGGATCTTAGCCACGAGGCAGCATGCGATGTCTTTATGACAGGAGTGGTGTTCGCCCAAACCTGCCTTTGCCTAGCCCGCCGCCCCACCTTGGCTCCCACTTTTCCTCCTCATCCTCCATGTCCACTCTTAACCGTCAGATATTCGACATCAAACGGCCAGGATCTGAGCCACGAGGCGGCATACGATGCATTTATGACAGGAGTGGTGTTCGCCCAAACCTGCCACCGCCTCGGCCTCCCGCCCCACCTCCTCTCCTCCCTCCCCCCGCTGCCGCTGCTGTTGCGGCTGCTGCTAGGGAGGAGGCAGGGAGATGGGGAGAGGAGACGAGTGAGGGGGCAAGGGGGGGAGAGGGGGGGAGATGGGTTGGGGAGAGGGGAGTGGGAGAGAGAGGGGGAGGGGAGGGAGTGGTGGTGGAGAGGTGGAGACGAGGAGAAGGGGTTGTGAGTAGGAGGGGAGAGGTGGATGTGGGTCGTTGGAGTAAAGTCAGTCAACGCAGCAAAGGGAGCACCAGTATATCAGCAGCAGATGCACCAATGGCAGCGGCACCATCAGCAGCAGCAGCAGCATCAGGGTTAGCAACAGCAGCAGCATCGGCAGCAGCAGCAGCAGCAGCAGCAGCAACAGTGGCTCGACTGTCCAACATCACCACCCTCATAGGCAAGGGCGCCAGGGACATTCATCTAGACCTGGCCACAGGGCGTGCTGCCGTTGGCTGCAGGGCCCCCTCCTTTGACACCCTCCTGTCTATCCACCCTTCCTCCTCCTCCTTCTCCTCCTCCCCTCTGTCTCCCAACAGCAGCAGCCACATCTCCGCACCCACCACTCCCAGCTCCAGCATTGATCTCACCAGCAGCAGCAGCAGCAGCAGCAGCAGGAGGGAGGAGGACCGGTCCAACGTGCTCTTCGTGTGGGGCGTGCCGCCCTCGCTCCCCCCTCAGCGCCTGCGCTTCCTCCTGCGCGGCCTGCTGGGCTACAATGCGCCCCTCGAGGTCGAGCTCATCGACAGTGGTGCCCCCGATGGCAGCACTGCCACTGATGGCTGCGGTGCTGCCTTTGGCCGTAGTGCCGCCCTTGTGAGGTTCGGCAGTGGGAAGGAGAGGGATGTGGAGAATGTGGGGAGGGTTATGGGGGGCTGGGGAGAGCGCTGGCAGGGAGTGGGAGAGGTGGTGGTGGGGGGCTGGGGTTGGGGAGAGGTTGGGAGAGAGAGCAGCAGCGGCAGCAGAGATGGTTTCCCTTGGGATTCGTGCTGCCCCTTTCTCAGCGTTTGTCACGTTGTGTGAGTGTACTGTTCCGTTTACGTCAGCTAGTGAGGGCGCTGATGTGTTCAGGTTTGATCAGCTCCTTTTGGCTGCTGGCCAGAGATCCCCAGCTCGCACACAAGCTGTCAAAACAAGCCGACCGAACATCAGAGAAGGGCGGGGAGCAAGGGAGGGCATGGTGGTTGTTGACGGTGGTAGTAAGACTGGTACTGTGGTACAGCCGAGAGAACGAGTGCCTAAATGATTTGTGCTGTGCATTTCTGTAGACGAAATAAGCCACCAAACTAGGAATTGCAGCATACCATGTCGGGAAGCTCCAGCAAATTGGGCATTGTGCTCTCCGCATCATGAACATGGTGTACAAGAAAGCACTTGGTCGGGGTTGAAAATGGGAAGGGAGACTTTCATTTATTGTTGTATAGGTGAAGTCCCGTCAACTTCCAGGCCTCCGATGCTACTTGCCCCTTCTAAGGCGCTTTCCCACAATGAAGTAGTATTATATCAACCAACCATATAGTTAAAGTAATTTGGATAATAACAAGTTCAACACTGTTTTGTTTTCCAAGCAGGTTGCAGGGTTTGCTGGAAATGGGGTCGGATCTTTTGGGGGTTTCGCTGATCTGGCGACATTGGGAAGCTCCGCCAGCCTGTCACGTGCTGTCGTGGATAACGACTGGATCAACAGTCCCCGTTCGGCGCCGAGACAGTTCCAGCACTTCTCGGAAGTGCTAGCGTTTGATTGGCTAATGGATTCGACTAATGGGATGATTTGGCACCTGCCTCTGCTCTCCAATCATGAAAACTTGGTGGCTCGTCGCAGCAAATGGATGGAGAGTTTCGAGTGAGAGACGGCCTTCCA